TGAAGATTGTCATTGCTCCAGAATGCTTAGATGAGTTATAAAAAGATATGCATCAGATCTTTCAGTTCTGAAAACAGTAAGATACTGAAAAATAAAAAAGCTGTAATGGGTACAACTAGATCAGTAGACTTGTGTGAATTATCCTTCTTACATGCATTCATATATTTAAGGTCACAGAGAAATACCAGAAAATGTATCCAGTCAGAACCAGTAAGTGTTAAAAATTTTCACTAGGGGGGCAGAAGTAACTGTGAGATTTTTGTGCAGTTGTGTCTACCCATTTTTCTTTCTTTGTCCTTCCCTCTTAGAGCAAGTAGTTTCATCATTCTGTGCTTGCCTCTGTTAGTTACTGACTCTCCAACTTTCAGTCTGTGCCAGTATCCAATATTTTCTTTCCTTTGTTCTTTGGGGAACTATTTCATAGTAGCCTGATGCATGAAGAGGTCTTGGTTCTGTTGTAATTGGAAGCTGCTATGCATATATAGACCCATTAAAAAATAAATATTTTCTGCTAGTTTCTTATTCTCAAAATAGTGTTTGGCATGCTGTTCCATCCTCAGCAAGTAGAATATGTAGAAGAAATAAGTCAGGGTTTTTTTAACCATTTCACTCTAGTAATGTTTCACTTTTAGAACTGTTAAGGATCATGACTCTTCAAATGCTTACTTCTGCATTTCAGTAAAAGGCAGTCACCAGAAATATCTCGGGTTCATAAGGCAAATTCATAAGGTCATAGTCTCTTTGTTCTCTTATTCTTTAAGCTAGATACAGATAGCAAGATGAATAAGCCTAGTGGCTGATCTTCAGAGTCTATAGTTGTCTGTATTACAAAAGACTATTCTTACAGCAAATTAGAACTGCCTATTTTGTAAATACCTGTTTTCCTTTCAAAGCTCTTGTCTGTAGAAAGACACAGAAATTCTTAATTGATCCTGGTTTTCATATCTATATTGAAAGAAGATGTATTGATTAAGATTGTCTGCTTGTCATAGGGCAGGACCTGATACTTTATTCAGGATATGGACTAATCCAAACAGTAGAGCATATTAAGAACTTCCATTTAGATGTGAGACCAGAGAGCAAACCTTACATTTGACAGTTCCCTGTCATTTTCAAAGCTGGTCAAGCCTAATGACTCCAAGGCCAGACAGAAGGGTGTCTCCATACCAAATGCAGCTTATGGGAAGTCATTTTGAAGGGCCTCTATGTAATCTGTATACATGTAATGTATGGAATAATTTGGTGCAGTAGGATTGGATCAGCTGATGGAAGCAGCAGAGGCTGAGGCCAGTGTGTTTACAGTAGAGATTTAAGCTTTGAGTTAGATTTAATCTGAGGTGAACGTCTCCACCTCATGTGTTTCAAAGCTGTCTGAAGGCTCAAGCATTATTTTGGTCCTTTTGTCCCTATTAAGTATGGGAGTGCACTTGCTGTGGAGCTTCCTGTTCAGTTTCCTCCTAATGGAAATTAGTTTGCACGCACCAAAACCTATCTGCAAACCAAATCAATGCTCAATAAATGGGACAGTGAGGAAATTTGCTTCAAAAGCATCCTAATCAAAAAGCTAATGCCAATAGTCACTGTATTTCAGTGTTCACTGGAGTCATGCTTCTGTCTGATAGAAGAAATAGAGTGCTGCAATCAGGAGTCCATTGCAAAACAAACAAAATGTGCTACGTGTAGTTAGGCTATAGAACACTTGCCACAGCAGTTTGTGGAAGCTAAAAAGGTTCTAAAAGCTTAAGCAGAGAATGAGCAAGTTCTCGGGAGAGAATCCGTTGAGAATTACATTGAAATGACATCCAGTACAGGAAGCATTTTGTATGAACTACAGAACCTCAGAGGCAGAGAGAACACTCAGGGGAAGGATCGTGTGTTTGTTCTGGTCCTTAACTCTAACTGAGCACCTCCTTCAGTGTCTGCCAGAGGCAGGATATTAGGCTAGATGAATCCCTGTGCCAATCCGATACGGCTGTTATTACGTTCTTAACTTAAGGAAACTGAGGAAACTGAAATCAAGCATGTGGTCTAAGGATGAAAGCATTACATGATCCCACTTCAGCAGAAAGGGAATTCTATGCGAGCAAATGTGGTGTTGCCAGAGAAATAAAAAGAAAGTTCTTTCATTTGTGTAATTCATTTTAATTGCCTTCAGTAATTCCACGAATTAAGATGAGGATTGGTATCTTGACTATAGGGCTTTGAGGACTCTGTTGAGGAAAATAAAATGTTTCATGGAAGCCTTTACTGACAGCATTGATAGTGTTAATTATTGCAGCTTGTGGAGGGGGAGAAAAAGAGCAGGATATTACAAATTCTGAGTGCAAGATTACTAAAGGTATGGGAACTGAGCATGACGTCAATGGTATAGAATAAGGGGTGGATACTGTCCTAGTTTCAGCTGGGATAGAGTTAACTGTCTTCCTAGTAGCTGGTACGGTGCTATGTTTTGAGTTCAGTATGCAAAGAATGTTGATAACACTGATGTTTTCAGTTGTTGCTCAGTAGTGTTTAGACTAAAGTCAAGGATTTTTCAGCTTCTCATGCTCAGCCAGCAAGAAAGCTGGAGGGGCACAAGAAGTTGGCACAGGACACAGCCAGGGCACCTGACCCAAACTGGCCAACGGGGTATTCCATACCATGTGACGTCCCATCTAGGTTAGGAACTGGGAAGGGGGGGGCAGGGAATCGCCGCTCGGGGACTGGGTGGGTGTTGGTCAGCGGGTGGTGAGCAATTGCCCTGTGCATCATTTGTACATTCCAATCCTTTTATCATTACTGTTGTCATTTTATTAGTGTTATCATTATCATTATTAGTTTCTGCTTTTCTGTTCTATTAAACCATTCTTATCTCAACCCACGAGTTTTACTTCTTTTTCCCGATTTTCTCCCCCATCCAGGAGTGAGTGAGCGGCTGCGTGGTGCTTAGTTGCTGGCTGGGGTTAAACCACGACAAGATGAGAGAATTGCTCTGGTTTCTTGTCTTACCCATTATGTAGTATTTTTAACTCCTATTTACGTAGAAATTGTTGCATAGAGTTGTTCATTTGTTTTCTTAACAAGTCTCAGCATCTAAATTTCAAATAAATGCTTTTAAATAGTTAATTGGCAGACAAGCTTATAGTTAAAAATATGGAAAATACCATTTGTCACATAATACAGTTATTTTCTTCCTTCCTCTTTTCCCTTATATTGGTACACAAACATGCACACTGTTATATTAATGTAAACTTCCTGTGTTCCTTCCTAGAAGTCACACCTTTTTTCTACTTTCTATAACAAGTTAAAATTTCTTTCCTCTATCTTCTCGTATTCTGTTCTTACAAGATTAAAAAACAGTAAGTCAGGTCTTACCACCTTATTATAAATGTGTAAGTGTGTTGTCCTTCTTAGTTATTGCATTCTTGTTCGTGTGCAGGGACCTAAGGATATTCAATTTCTGTTGTGAATGTAGCTAAGCTGGGAAACTTAACAATTTTTCATCTTCTTAACAACCAGAAAGAAATTATTAATGTAATCATAAAGTGTACAATTTTATACGCAGTTCAGCTTTTAACCATCTTTGGTTTTCTGTATGTAGTTAATTTTGTATCATGATGAACCATCAGAATTCCAACCTATGCTTTCTACTTTTAATGATACAGAATGAAAGAGTTGTGGAAATAATGAATTAAGTATAGTAGGTTAACTTTAGCTGAATTTCTCAGGAGCACGAGATGAATGCAATAAATCAGAGCTGCCTTATCTTTTTCAGTTGCAGCTGTCTTGCCACCAAGATTTGAGGTGGAGAGTTCAATGGTATAGAATTAGTCATTTTCCTTGCAAAGGGCACACAATATTGTTTCTGGCTTTTGCCATACTGAAATAATCTGAATAAGTGCCTCCAACACACTTGCCCAATATAAGTAAACGCACGAGTTGAAATGAAATTGTTTTGTTAACAGCAAACGTTCTGAAGTAGTCCAGTTTTTAAATTATTTTAACTGTCTTAGTACAAACCTCTGTCAGTAGCCTTATAATGAAATGGAATCATTCAGGCTCAATTTCTCAGTGGCCTTGCCTGTGAACTCCAGTTTGTAACTGTATTTCAACCAGCCAACGCGCTCCTATAGACTGAGCAGCAAAAAGACACAGTTCTTTATCTTTGTATAAAGAAGTGTCTGAATTCTGTTTATATTAACATTTGCACTTACAAGATTATTCTAATGTGGAATAGGAATAACTTTTCCACATTAGTGTTGTTTTACATACGTGGTATTCTGCCGCAGCTAAAGTTGCTCCACTGTATTAAGAAGAATTGATCAACATTTCGTGAAAAAAACTAGTGCTTTTGCTTGAGTATCCAGCTCAGGAAACATTTTCAAAAGTAGAGAATGCCCATCCTTTGAAAATCAAATCCTTTTAAGTAGTTTGTGTGAGCATTCTGTAACAGAGGCACTCAGATTCACTAACCGTATTTCAAATTCTTGGCTGCTTTTTCAAAAAAATCGTGTAATACCATACATTTAAAACTTAGTACATGTGTTTTCACTTTCCAGCTTCCTGAACAAAATGTGATAGCTATATGGAACAGTTGGTGTTAACTATGTTTGGTACCTGTTCAATTCCAATTGAACTTCCAATTATTTGCACTGCAAACAGGTTTAAATTCGTAAGTTTTGGTCAGCAACAATAAAGAAACATACACAACTTAATGTTCTTTTTTAAAATCTGAAAGTCAAGTTTAATTATTTGGGTTTTATTCAGATTAATGTCTACCGCTATATATTACAGTATGGATTTTAAATGACTTTTCAAATCCAGTATACTTTATCGGTACATTAGAAGCATCCATTAAGGTACAAGAAAGCAATAAAAATTGAAAATTAGCAAATGTTTATCACTTGTATTATATTTAGTATACAACCTATCCAATTTTGGATGTAAGAGATATTTAATCTGTGGGATCTCTAAAACAGTAAGGCAGTAATTTATATCTTTGAAATGTTTTTCACTGGCAGCTAAAGAAGAACGTAAAAAAGAAGAGAGCAGTTTGGAAAATGCACAAAAATGGTAAGGTTTTTGCTAGTGTTTTCTCACGGTTTTGGTCAAAGATGTTATTGATCTTAGGAATTACATTAAATAGGAAAAAGGATCTGTACTTCAAAGAAGTAATATGCTTTCTGAAAAATTCTTATGTAGTCTTCCAGGAAAAAGTTCAGTTGAGTTTTTAGCCAAACAGTGTACTGTGTTTGAGGTTTTAATTACTGTCAACATTGACCTGAATCAGAGTTTTACAGAATATTGTAATAACTGATTAACTACTTAATGTAGTAAAAATGTATTTCATTGTCACTGAACATTTTCAGCACTTAGACTATTGAATGCAGTATACTAAGAAACCAGTGAAATCCTAATGCTTTCATTGCCTGAGTATCTGTGCCTTACTTAGGCCAAAGGAAGCAAAATAGGGGAAGTGAGATAAATGGATTTATAGATAGATAGTATATCAGTAAGTTAGTATTTCTAATAATTTTTTTTAACCAAGTTATAGTTTTGTGAGAGTGAAGGATCTGCCTTTAACCTTGTCTGTGTTAACTGTGGAACTGCTATAAATCAGCTGAGGTAAATTAATTTTTAACTTCTTATCAATATTTTTTCTTCATGGTCACTAAAAGCAGATCTGTGGTAATTTGGATTTTTATGCTACTTTTCTGAGCCCAGAGTCTCTCCACCTAACTGAGACACCTAGGTTAGTCTTCCTAGACAGTCAGGAAAAGAGAGATAGGCACCTCCCAGATGCAGTTCAAGTCTTCGGTGAACTGTTTCCATTTGCTTGCAGAAGGTGCCTAAATTAGCTGAACTATTGGCTGACATCAGCTGGGGCTTCACCTCTGCATTTCATTTGTCAGTGGTGGCTGGCTGGCTTGTTTCCTTTCTACATAGCTACCAACCTACCTTTTGTGGCACAGGCTCTTTCACGTTCTACCTGCCTTGTAACCCTTCTGGAGCAGAGTAGACGCTCCAGGGATGGAAGTATAATTAATTTGCAGTTGACTTAAGGAATTAGTTGTCTGATACAGAGTTTGGGTTTATTCAGTTGATAACTAAACATTCAGTATTTTAAATTACTGCTAGAAAGATCTGTTACTTTGAAAGTCAGAAAGCAGCCCAGGAAGCTACATTAAGCTGGATGAAAGCAAAACAGTGCTACTGGGAGAAGGGCTAAGGATGAAACATGAGGAGGGGATGAGGAGTAGGTGTCAGGATGAAGGCAGCGTGAGAGAGAGTGTGCAGGAATTCAGAATCCTGGAGCATGCAGAGACAACTGTATTGGCTACAGCTGGGATGGAGAAGGGTTCTGTTAGGAATAGGAGAGCACGATGTTACCGGGGTTGGCTGCTGTTACATGAAGCCAACCTGAGAAGAGAGTTTCTGGTCTTGCTGTTCCTGGCTGAGCTATCCTAGTCAAGGGATATGAACAGCTGAGGAATATTTGGCCCAACGGAATGTAATGGAAATGTCATTGCCCAGTAGACATAAACTGTTTTAACCATGTGATTATGACTAGGGTATTTTAGTATTTTTTAGGGTTTGAAATCCCAGAATGGTTTACACAGATATTTAAACCTGTATTAGTGTTTTCTTTCTTTCTTTATTTTCTCCTTGTAGTGTCACTACAGGACCCTTCAACTCAGAATATTATGGGCTTATTCATACTTATTTCATTGTGATACCTTTACTGTGGAGCACCAATTAACTTGAAATATAGTTACATGTTTTATACAAAACCTATGTAAGAAATTTAAAAGGTTAAGCTTATCATATATGAGGGTTTAAAAAACTATTATATCAATAGCTCACCTTGAGCAATATGTGATATTCTTCAGCATGTCCTAGAAGCTGTATCCATCTTTGAAGTATCAAAAAAACCAGAGCGTATTGGCTCATGTGGCTAAAATCCAAGCTTCTATACTTTGTGAAGCAGATGGACTGTATTTTTGGGGAGTAACTTCTGTTGATGGACTTTTTGATGGTTACTTTATATTCTTCAAGCCTAGCTAAAAGCTTGAATCTCAACCTAAGGCAAAAAAACTTGACCCTAACCTTAGCAATTCTGTATGAAAACATGCAATGTGGACTATGCAAATGCAAGTATAAATTGGGAAAGAAATATTTACTGAAGCTGCATCTGTTGCTCAAGTAACATCTGTTGAATAGTTGGGGACTCCTTACAAGTCTTTAAGATACCTTTTATTTATTTTATTTTCAAGATTTACACTTCCTGTGTTCTAGATTTAGGACCATTGGGCAATTGTAAAGAACAATGTAACTTTCTTCTGCTTAAATAAAATCAGTATTTCAAGAAAAATTAGTTCTTTTGAAACATGTTGTTACCTTTCTTTTTAAATTACAGCATTATTTTTAATAAGTATCACCAAATCTTTCAGGATTGTTATATCTACTTTGCAGAGAAAAGTGATTCAAAAAGTGATTCAACCTTTACGAAAGTGAACATACTTTTGTTTCATTACATAAGTACCTAGTCATGTGAATCATTCCATTTTATCTATACAAAGCAATATCATAAAGGTTAAAAATGCACAATCAGTTAAAATGCTATCGGAAGTATCATCTATAATAAAAAACTACTTTGAAAATATCCAGCTGTATAGCAATTCAGTAGCCATATTACAAAATTTAAAAAGCATTAAAATATTGGCAATGCATTTTCATAAAATTAATTATCTGCTTATTGACACATGTGGAAGGAGATTAATTGTTTTCAGTAAAAACTTTGCAAACTGACTATTGGCACTGTCTGTGGCTTTCTTCTTGCTACTTCCAATTCTCCCTAAGTACTTGAAGGTTATTTTTAACCACACCTGTAGATTTTTTCCTGACTTGGCATGTGACTCTTCCATAGTCCTTCAGTAAAGATAAATGGGAGAATAAGGTCTTCATGGAGTGTTGCAGAATAAAATTAAAGAAATAGATATAATATAGCATCTCCTGAAATGCAAGAAGTTAAGTTTTTCTCATTAAAATTGAATGCCCATGATTTGTCTGTGTGACATATCTCTATGATGGCTCATGCATCTGTAAGTTACTCTCCTGGGAATGAGGTAGGTGTTGGAAGATTAGCTATACTCAGCATGAATTGCTGCTATGATTTCCAAGGCTAAGGGGAAGTTATGGTAATTACCAGCCTTGACTACTGAATCAGGAACCAGCCCTCAGAGAAACTGTTTCCCCAGTGAGCTTATGTGTTGACAGTTTTTTTCCCCCCCTCCCTCGCAGCTTCGAAGAAACAGTGGGATACTTTGGGATAAAGCCAAAGCCTGGCGAGAAGGAGATCACACCAAACTACATTTTCACGGTGTGGTACGAATTCTGCAGTGACTTCAAGACCATTTGGAAACGAGAGAGCAAAAGCATTTCCAAGGAACGGTAAGGTTCTAATAAAGTCATTAATACCATTTTAGATGTCTGGGAAACTGTTCCTTCTCAAACCCAACAAATTATACTCCTATATTTCACAGGCGTCATTGTTTTCTTTCAGATCTAATGGACATCAAGGAAAGATTATTCCCTCAGGGTGCGTAGGAAAATTCACCAAAGGCATGCTGTCCCCACAAAAAGATAAACACATATAATCTGATAAATTACACTTTTGTAACCCCTTCCAATTACTAGCTAGTAAAATGAAAGGGGAGCTGTGCTAATTTGTAACAGATTGCTTCTCTGTGCATTTTCATGTTGAACTAGCCTAAATGAGGCGATATTGCTGTCGCAGACAGTACAGACAAATAAAAGTGAATGCTTTTCCAGTTAATATACTGCACTTGCATCAAAGGGAAGCCCCAGAGATTCAGGCCACACTTAGCACAGTGTTGAAGCCCCACACTGAATTTACAGCACTACTTCTGACTTTTGGTGTCCTGCTGAGGACATCAAACTACTTGCCGCTAGATCTCACCACAGTCTCCTGATTTTATTAGTTAGAGTTAAAAAAAAAAAAACCAACACCAAACCTTCAATTATTTTCTTGATTTTCTTAAAGAAGCTTAAAATCTTTTACAAAGAAAAAACAATTCCATTACAAGCACACCATGCTTACCATATCTCAGTTCATTTGAAAAGACCTAAAGAGTGGTAATGTGGTCATGCTTTGGAAAAAAATGGATTAATCACTTTCAGTATGAAATATAAATCCAGGTGCTTATTCCAAATTGACACAGATTTAGAGAAAAATGTCTTTAAAAGTATCAGCAAAAGTAGTAAACTCATTGACACTTACATTTTCTATTTTGCTCCAAATCAGTGGACCTTTTAGGTTCATGTAGAAGTAGATTTTTAAAGGACAAGATGTAGAAATTATAAATTCCCAATTATCAACCTTATCAACATTGTTTTACAGATATTACAGGTTTTAAACACTTGAAAGTTGTAGCTTTATGTATCGTCTATGTTATTATTAAATAGACTTTAGAAGCTGACAACTGCAAATATTTACAAAGAATCTTTTATTTCCTTGTGTCTAGATCAATATGCAAATTTGTTTTACACATTAAAAACTGTGTAAAACAAACAGTCACTAGCAGATTGCTATAATCATGATACGGGTCATCTCAGGGATTTTCTGCTGAATCATGACTTATTTTTGTTCCAAAAGCAGTTAGGAGGAATAGAAATTAACTACCCAAGGGAAAAAGGAAAAAAAAATCCAGACCATACAGCCATTCCTTTTTATGTAATTAGCACCTTGCTGATGGCATACAGTGATCCCTTCAAAGAAATTGATTTAAAATGCCTTGTAAATATTTTAACACTACATAACTTCTTAACTTTCTTAATACAATATTGAAGAAATCTTTGTTTGTAACTAAACTGCTATGTTCTGTGCTTTCCTACTGGGGAGAGATGAGAATTTCCCATGGTTTAATAATTATATAAATAAAATCTACAAATAATAAAAACACAGCACAAATACTTAATCAGCTTCTTTGATGGATACCTTTATTCCTATTCATAAATGTAAAGCAATACCAGTAGAATGCAGAGCACCAGTTACCATAATACTTCAAAGTGCTGACGCTTTCTGGATTAGATAGACTGTTTTTCAGGGTTCACTTCAAATTATTTTACAAAGTTTCATTAATCTCAAAAGGACAACTCATTGTCCTTTACATTCAAAATGTGGGTGATTCATCAAGACAATGAGCTGCTGAAATGAGGAGCCTTGTGTAATACGTAAATTAGAATGACAGAAGAACTGTTTTCATCATCCTAAATTGTTTTGTAATGTGCTAGTGAAAAGAAGAACATCATGAAATCAGTAGATTAGCATGATGGAAAAGCTATTTTCATCACCTGAAAATGTCCTGTAAAGTCATGACCATTTAAGGATTCTGTCTTACAAAGTATGACACTAACAGTTGATGAGCTACTGTCCAAGAAAGTTAGAAAGCAAGCTAAGAGTCATTGTGCACATTGGTAACTAAAAACCTTAGTATGACAGGAATGGACAGCTGTCTTCCTTAACTGGCTAATTAATTGGATGCACTATTTGTTTTGCATTTTTAAAGTTTGTAATTTAATTAAAAAAAAATCTGTTTATCATGAACCAATTCTTTTGTTTTGAAGGAAATTTTAAAGACGACGAATTGGGAGTGTAAGTCAATATTTTCAAACTTGGGTTCTGAAACTGAGGCACTGATATCCTTATGTGAACACGTTTACAGTTGGATTACCCTTCAGGAGGAGCTGCAGAAACTCAGCATAAAATGTGTCTGAATTACCTAGTCACATAGATACCTAAAAAATGGATTTCATTGTTTACATTTACATAGGAATGTTAATATTGGATTATAATTTGTCTCTTAAGAAATATGGCTCAGAAAATTCAAAATTTAATTATAATATGCAAAATTATCGTTATGCAAAAGCATAATTAAAAATGTATTAGCTTAAAATGAATAGTAGTAAAAGTAGGTCGAAATATCTAAGATTCCAAAATTAAAATTTTAGACTCAAAACTAACTACTTTACGTTGTATAACAGACAACTTTAAAATCTCTGAATTTCAGGAAAAAAGAATACTGCCTTGAACTAAATGACAGCCTCAGCTGCAAGAGCCTGTTTTGTCTAAAAACTGCTTGGCTCCCAAATGTGACACAACTGTAGAAATCTAATTAGATTTCTATGAGACTTTTTCTTAAAGTAAAGGAAACACTTTAACTGAGCTGCCCTGCATTTAACCTACCATGAAAATAAATTAGCTGCCTGCAAAATATAGTTGAATCATTGTCTCTTTCCTAGACAAAATTTGCACACCATTTAGGAATGCAAGACAGAGTTACAGACAGATAACAAACCTAGATTGATACAATATGATATGATACATGATACATGATAGGATAGGATAGGATATGATAGGATATTATAAATAAATGACTATAGAGATAAAATGAAGAAAATTTTCAAAACTGTATTCCTGATAGGAATATGATGACAGTTTTCTTTCAGACATAGTATTCCTTTCAATACTAGAACACAACTACAATACAATAAAATTTGCTTTGATGATCACCTCTTCATCTCTGACAAACAGCTTAGTGTAAATGCACCATAATACTCATCAAATGTTGGAGACTTTTTTTTTGTCTTGTTTTGCATCAAACCCCAGTTTTGTTGTTGACAGCTTTATAATTTAGTATGTCTGTGCATGCAGGTACATCAACTGCTATTATGCTTTCTTCTGTTTATAAAATTTTGAGATGATAACTGAACTGAAGACTAAAACAAAGATATATTTTTTTTTGGCAACAAGGCAGTTGCACCGTGGTAGATTGCATGTAATTGCAGTCTCACTTCCTTTTCTTAGACTACTGATTTTATCTGCAGTGGGCATGTCTAAGAATTCAGAAGCAAAACAAATATGTAGCTATAACAACTTAAATACATGATATATATATATGTATAATGCCTATCTATAAGTCTATTAAAGCATTCAAGATCTGTTAAAGTATATTTTAAGAGGATATCCTAGCCAAGTCTGAATATAGGGAAAAAGTATAAATACAGAAAAAATACTAATGGTTTGCAGTGAGTAGTTTCATCGCAAACTGTGATTGCGTATTTTGCAAAAGAAACGTGACAAGGATTATCATTATGTGTTTATGGGTGTTACCCTTTAAATATGAAATAATTAGATACAAAAGGAATTATTGCTGTTAATTGACCCACTGCTTACAATGCAAAGATAAGATTGCTACAATAGTTACCATACTGGATTAAGCCAATCTTTTTCAGATAGAACATACATACAAATTTTATAGGTTAGAATTTGAAAAGAAAAAGAGAACCAAAGATTGTCTCAATAGCTGGAGAAGACGTAATCATTATTTAATGAGCAGAATTATATACTTCATCTTAAAAATAGGGAAAAAGTCCTACTTTTTAATGGTACCTTTTATAAAAGGTCCTTTTTTAAAATGCTTTCTTTGTTCTTGGACTTCATCTCTAGCACAAAACATGTTGATGGTTTCAGCTTAATCTTGTGAAAAAAGGCATAGTGGGTTTTTTTGCCACAAAGGCAATAACAGGTTTGAAAAGCAGAAGCTCTGGCTGTAGCAGTGTAGATAGCTAATGGTAAAGATGAAAATGTCCTAACAAAAGAAAAAGCACCAAGCAGTGCCCAACTAATTTTTGTTTATTATAGTAAATTGGAGCTGGCTATAGCTTTCTACCCAACTCTTACATTTATTAAATACAAAATGAATCGTATTCATTGCCCTCTATTTCTGCACAGGAAAACAGTAAGTCTGGGGAGTCCTTGTTTGTAACACCACATGGTCATAGGAGATAACGTGTAATTGCAAAATCTCTTAGCAGTGCTGGCCAATACAATATTTAATATTTTTAACCACAGATTAAGCTAATTATGAGACTATCTTGTGCCTAACAAATGACTGAAATTTGACAGAAACCCTCACCACAGAGGGACTAGTGGATTATATTTTCATTTTCAATATCACTGTGGGCAAAGAGGAGAAATAATCTTTGGTTCAAGACATTTTATCTATTTTAGAAGGCCAGATTTATTTTATAGTTTGATTTAAAAGTGAATTTCTCTTTCATCTATTTTCTTCATGTCTGTATTACCTAAGACAGTGAGAGTCAGTGAGAGTCTAGATTTGCAGGCATTTTGATCAATTTGTACTGTGGTAGAACACTCAGTCCTGATGATCAGTCAAACACTCCAAAACAGGGCATCATCCAGGTATCATACAATCTGCATGTATGGTAAAAGCCAAAAGATGAGTGTAACAGATGTTGTTTATTTCATTTGATATTAAACTAATGGTCTAATAAGGCAAATTGAGATCACAACATAAATGAGTTTTAAGGAAATATTTAAAATATGATCGTTAGGATCATTAGGTGAC